TATTTCATGTAAGAATTTTTTTAAATCTTCGTATTTACTAACTAAATTACATTTTTATGCATAATTAACCATAATAATAATGTATATTATGTTTTCTCCGTTATATATACCACATATTTGTGATGGCAGTACGCATGGGGTCTTTTTATTTACACCTTTAATCTATTTTGAAGATACATTCTTATAAAAAATTATTATTATTTTTTTATTGAGATTCAACTTGCTTTTTCATGTTTTCTAGAACTTTTAATAACTTTTATTTGGAACAACATTACCCGGATGGTGCTACACAATTTAAACGACACATTTAAGCCTTTGATATTGACCCTAGTTTATAAGAAAATTAGTTGTGACACCTATATATTATATGAGTTTATTCAAAAAAAAATATGAAGATCTAAAAGTTTAAAAATTAGAATTTATAAGGAAAAAGAAAAAATATTTATTTAATTATTACAATTAAAATGTTTTTTTCTTTTTTAAACTTAAACAAATAATTTAAATAAATAAACAAATGAAATAATTAGATTCGATTTAGAAATTTATAAATAAAAAGAAAGTTGCATTAATGAAATTGATATGTATTCATTAATATATTTATCATATTACATTTAAATATTATATGAAATTTAATAAAATAAAAAAAAATAACGAAAACCATAAAGGACATGTGAAAAAAAAATCTAAAATAACCACAAAATCACATATCTACTACTATAATAAATGAATATAATTTTGTCACGTGTCAATCTCTAATGAGTTTTGACACTTGTCAGTTTATGTTATTTTTTAAATAAATAATATCCACATTTCAATTTATGGTTTTTTTTAATTTTTAAAATTAAAAAGCCACATAATACTTATAGTTATATATGTAAAGTATCAAATGTAATAAATATTATGCTAAATTGCAATTAGTATGTTTTTCTTAATTCCTTATTTCAAAATTTTATTTTAAAGAATACTTATTATTTACAATTTATTATTTTATTTTTTTAATCAACCAGTATAATACACAAGTTTTACACCTAGTACCAAAATGATTGAAAATGATTGAGAGTTTGACAAAGAAGAATCTAATCTCTATTTTAAAATTATAAATATACAAACACCCCTAAAAACACACTTAAATATTGTAAAAGATATAAGGTGCAAAAGTAGAAAAACAAGAAGTGAGTAGTACTCAAACACAAATTTATCAAAGAAATAAAATGAGCATTCCTTTTGTAGAGGCCTTGGCAACGTGAAAAAGTTAGGGATCCGCCATTGTCGTAGTAAGAGTGCTCCATCCGGATGGTGCTTACAAATTTCGATGGAACTGGAATTGGATTCGGTAATCTTAATCAATTCTTGCATTTCTCTTCACAATATTTCGTCTAATTTTCTCTCTTCGTTAAGATTCTTCCTGCAAAACCCTCACTAGGTTTCTGTTTTTAGGTTTTGGAGTCGGCTGTGGTTTCGGCGTTGGATGGGGTTTCGGAGGTCACATCTCTCTCTAACACATTCGCAGCTGTTTCCACCCTCAATTACTTTTATAACTCGTCTTATATTCTTTATCCATATGATTGATCAATATATACAGATAATGTTATCTGTTCTTCCTGTTCATAAACTGCAAATTGAATTTCAAACGACTGAACGATACTCATTTCAGATTTGTGTTCGGAAATTGTAAATCTAACTTACGGCAACTCAAATTAGGACTCTGCAAATTAGCAAAAGTATGTTGTTACATTTAATCAAAACTAATTAACATTGTATCTTATTCAGGTATGCCTTTGAATTTCCTAGGTCTTGGTGCAGGTACGCCATTTAAGAATTAAAGACTGTTTTTTTACTTGTATACATTCAACTTGTTCTTCATTCATATATTTTGTTCATAAAGCTGCAACTTTTGATTGATTTGAAAGGTGGAGGCTGTGGAGTTGGGGTGGGCCTTGGATGGGGGTTTGGAACAGGAGTTGGTAGTAAGTACCGATCTTCAAGAGTTGTTTTTCAGGGAGTTGATTTCAATAAGAAAAGTGAAACCGAAGGTACTACACAGTCATCTTGATTCTTGACACCTTGGTACTTGTAGAAGAAATTTCAGTTTGTGAATTGACACCTCAATCATGTGTCACCTTGTATCCCATTTGTAAGAGTAAATGAATACAACATTTCTACACTCTAACATCCAATTGATGTCGCCTATTATGCTCTGTGGCTCCTTTTTAGATCGAATGTAATACAAGTAAAGCTGCAATCAAACGAATACAATGAGAAGAATCAGAAAAGACACTACCAACAAACATAAACAAACACACTAACATGACATGACAGATTGTTCAGTATAGAACCTAATTGAAGTATAGACAACTCACCAAGTAAGCAAATGACAACAACCCAAAAAATCGTTTGGGTGCGACAACTATACAACATATAATACTGCAACCTTTGAAGTTGTCGTTGGATTGCACCACACCACATATGAAGCCATCTATCATGATGACCATCATAATGTTCGGGGCAACTCATGTCATGAATCTTTAAAGAAAGAAAAAAAAACAACAAAATATGGTCATTAATACAAGATTTACAAACATATTATAAACATTCCATAAGAAGAAAAACAAAGACTCACTTGAATCAAAGGCCCAACATCCACTTCTTGCTTTAATTTCCTATACCCATTCTTGGGCCACTTCAATTTCGAAGCCGTGTACTCTAAAGTGTTCAAAAGCCCAGAAAAACTCGGGATCTTTCGAGGGGCTTTTTCGCCTTTTCCAACATCGTCATCAACTGTGATCTTCCATGACCCGATGTCGGCACTGGCGCTCGCGGCTCTTCTATGCCCGGAAAATTTCTTTTCTTTAGCTGCCGCGGCCGCCGCTTTTTGTTTCCGGCGAGTTTTTGCAGGTTGTTGTTCATCACTACCGCGTGTTCCTGATCCTGCGAGAAATAGTGCGAGTTCTTTCCTTTCTACCTCATTAAGTTTTACCCATGGGCGTGGTGGCTTCCCTGTTGAAGAAAATGAATCGTTCCATGAAGTTTCAACTCTTGAAATCTGAGTCTCGATTGCATTAATGAAGTCACGATGCCTGTCTTTTGTATTGTCGGTTGAAGTTTTGTTGTAGCTTGAGAGAACTGCCCTTTCGAACTCCTCCAACTGCAACAATTCTATATAAAAATCATTTCTAACAGAGAATCAATGTCAATGATTATATATGAAATTGGGGATATATTGGGATGGTTTCGATCACCTGCCATTTGGTAGTGCCAATGGCGGTTCGTAAATCTCTTCGAACAACGTCTGAATTCCAGACCGAAGGTTCTTTGGATGCATGAATCAATGTTCTATACGTGGAATCCATCCTTGAATCACATGAAAACTAAACAATCTGATGAACGAATTACAGGAAGAAGAAGAAGAAAAGCCCTAATTGGGAAAATTACCTATCTGCAGATTCCTGAACTTCTTCGGCAGCACGAAAGAACGGATCCTTCTCCCATCGATCCAAATGCGAGGCCATATCTATCCAATCCAATCTAATCGAGTGGGAGTTAAGGATTTATGATGAAATGTAGAATAAAATCCCCAAATGAGCCCGAGAACGAAGACTATCCTGCAGCCAACAGCATCAATAATGATGGCATCTATGAAAGATTTAACGAGAAATCATCAGATTGAAGGAAATTCTTCAACACATTGCAGGCAAAAGTAATCCGTTATCGGTTGAAGAAATTTGATAGTATTTTCCCGTTAATGGGATAGTTTGACTATTTATTTACAAACCCACGGTCCACTCCGGGGCACGAATGTGAACCGGGCTTAGTATGGTTTGATCCGATTTAAAGACCAGAGATCCATATTAGAAGTTCCGGACAGTCTCCGTTCGGTCATACGGTTAGTCTTTTTAAAACCGGTCTCGAAATGGTCCGGTACTTTTAGAACGGTCTTTTTTCAATCCGATTTTTTCCCATACCGACCTTTTTTTCGGTCCGATAGGAATGACAACGGGGCGGGACATGGTTTTCCAAACTCGTCCAATATCATTCAGCTTATCGGGGCACCCCGTCGGGTTTCAGATTTTCCCATCGGATTTCGGGTATCTTATCGGGTTTACAACAATTCATAATGAAATCTTTATTCAGGTTTAGGGTACCCCAGTATCTTACAAAAAATATGACAAAAAATTACATTATTAAAAATAAATAGATGTTCTAGCCTCCGTTTTAAATTAAAAATATGATGCATCACTTTAATAAAATAAACCGGACGTTATAATAAATATTATTTGTTTTAAGTTTAGTATAATATGTCAAAACATTAAAAAAAATATCGTTACACCAGATTGTTAATAATTAAAAAGATTGTATATAATAAGTATTGTATCTTTGAATGTGTGCAATTAATATCAAAAAGATTTGAACATTATATATATATATATATATATATATATATATATATATATATATATATA